CCGAGCCTGATAACTCGAGCCCTTATGTATTTAATTCTCTCCCAACTCTCCATACCATACTAGCTAATGGATGCCCCCTACAAAAGGGCTGGATGCTGCAAGCTACAAGGGAGCATATCTGCTTGCGGATCTCTTAGGAACATAACTAAGGAACTGGGGAAGAATCTGGGGGTCAAGCTAACCCTTACCCACAGCCAGGTTGAACAGCAGTGCCCCCCAGCGCTTATTAAACTGCAGGTAATTGGCCAGGCCCGTGTAGTACTCATAGCGGGGAATCCAGAGGGGCTGTTCTGTGGTCTCTGCCTCTTGGCAGGGGTAGAAGAGTCGAAAGAAGCTTCCCTGTAGGAAAAAAGAGAGCAGCTGCTCAGAGCGAGAAGCCGTAGCAGATACACTCAGCAGACATTTAGGCACCAGCAAAACAGGGTACTAAAACAGGGAAACTTAAATTTCAATTAACATACCTGAAGTTTACATTCAGAAATCTAGAAAGAAGCATACATGTAAAGCTTATGTTATTTCAAATACTCAACTACAACTTGATTACATCTGGGGGATGCACCAAAAAATATTTTGAGTGCTTGGGACATTGAAAGATTTAAATCGAGCCCTGAGCCCAGGCCTGAAGGAGTTCTAGAGCTAGGGATGAGCCCTGGTGTTGAATAGGGTCGCATGGGTGGCTCACTCAGGCCACTCAGCCAGGATTAGCTCTTGGGAAGCAGCAGCACACTCGTTTTACACGGGAGAAGGTGAAGGGTTACCAGGAAGTGTGTGTCTCTCACAAGGAGTGTCCCAGGGCTAGGAGAAAGACCTAGGAGGGCAAGTCCAGAAGCCAAAGCACAAGAGGCAAACAGATGGGAGGCCGGACAGGAGAGGAAAAAAGGAAACTGTCCTCCTCCCCACTCTGGGGAGCCCAAGGCCAATGGCACATGGCCCAAGTTCTTCCTCTCATATACCTGGATTAGGATGAGATCGAAAACCTTTCCAGGATCAGGCATCTGCCCACAACCAGGTAAGAAGATCTGCAAGCTGCCTTTGAAGCTGAAGTCCCCTTTCCTCCTGGCTGGAAAAACCACTCACTATCTCTGTCTACTGGGATGTTTCTGGTATTTGGAAAGAGTAAGAATATACCAGGGAAGACAGACCTGGGGGTTTGGTAACCAAATCTAGACCGGCTCTCACTCAGTTTCCCCAACATGGAAACGCACAATCAGACTTGCGATTGGTAAGGCAGAAGCAGCAACAGAGCTGGAGGCGCTCACCTGGAGACTCTGACCCTCCATCACATCCCCGCAGCCTACGAGGTGGGGCCCCGTAACAGGTGGAAAGCCCACGGACTGGTTGGCCCCCATTTCATCACAGGTGAATCCAATCACTGTGTGGTGCTGAACTTGAAGGCTGGAGAGCAGAACACAGAACAGCCTTTGCTGGTTTCCTCTTAGCTTCCTGTTGCTTACCCATGTCATGTGCCACTCCTGTCCACCCTCCTTACCATTCCATCCTCCCTGCCCCACACGCATGAAACCTTGCACATCTTCTACTTTTTTGTTGTTGTTGTTTTTGCTTTTTTTTTTTTTTTTCAGTTTTCGGCCAGGGCTGGCTTTGAACCCGCCTCCTCCAGCATACGGGGCTGGTGCCCCACTCCTTTGAGCCACAGGCACCGCCCATATCTTCTACTTAGTCAAGGTTTTGGTGCTTATTTTTATTTTTAGTGGGATGAGGAGATAATTGTGAAGAGGAGAGAGAGCATCCAAATTCCTCAAAACCCACTTCCAGCTGTTTATCAGCACCTACCATGTGCCCAGCATAGCAATGACCGTGGTAGAGGCTATAACACAGACCTCGCCCTCATGAGGCTAAAAATAACCACCAAGATCTATTATTGACTGTCCACACCATCCTAAGCTCTCTACATACATTATACCACTCCATTCTCTCAACAACTCTCTGAAGTAGGTACTATGAAGGCCCTGTTGTACAGATGAGGAAACTAAGGCATAAGGAGGTTGAGTAACTTTCCCAAGTTA